GAGTGGATGCGGAGGTGCTGGGCCAGGTAGGATGTGTTGGCGAAGCTCTTGGAGCAGTGAGGACACTTGTGCGGCTTGACAATCGCCGTGTGGAGCTTGGAGTGGATCCTGCCGAAGAGGAGGAGGAGCAGCAGCAGTTGGACACGACCGCCATCTGGCTAGTGCTGATGGAATGAGGGCACAAAGGGGGTGGGACAGCACCATGCTATCTGGCTACACAGAGGAACTCCATACAGGGAACGAGCATGTTCGGTCTCAAACTGTGCTCCCCTTGGATTCAAGAGACCATGGTCTGTCTGCACCGGGGGAGGATCCAGAGAGAAGAACAATAGAGTTTGGACTGAGGGGCATTGGCAGATCTGTGTGTGGGAAGCCTGTGGCTGGAACCGCAGGGGGCTGCAAGTCTGTTCTCAGATGTTTGGCAGAACTACACTAGGGCAACAGGGAATAGTCCTTCTATGCCTGCTCTACCCTGACAAAACAAGTCCTACCTTCTGTCAGAAATACCACTCTATTACAGACACCCCCTAGAGTAAAGCAGCACTAACCTCTGTGCACACCCAGCCCCTCACAGCAAGCAAAAAGTCATGTGTAAGATACCACTACTGCCAATTTGTTGTGTATGAGAAGTGACCAGCCTGTGCAAAACAGTGAGGTCTTCCCCAGGTAGTCACCCACTGAGGGTGCTCACAGCATGCTGGGATAACAGCAACATGCAGTGTGGAGGGCCCCCAGCCTCCTCTGGCCCTTACCGTGTGTGCTGCTGCAGGTGGGAGAGCTGGCGGAAGGCCTTCTGGCAGTAGCTGCACGTGTAGGGCTTGGCCCCTGAGTGGATGCGAATGTGCTGGGCCAGGTAGGAGCTGTTGGCGAAGCTCTTGGAGCAGTGAGGACACTTGTGTGGCTTTGTCTCCGTATGGGACTTGGAGTGGATCTGCATCTCCGACTTGGAGTAGAAGGTCAGCGAACACATCCGGCACCTGGGACCGGGGTGAGGGGAAGAGACAGTGTCATACGGGGGCAAGCCCCACTAGGTATCAATTCTAACTGGACAGGGTCTTTCACATTGAGTGAAGAAGGGATAGTTTCTTGCTATGTGGTTCAGGGGAGGTTTCACCTGGGACACTGTGCTTAGCTGTGAGTCCTCCAGTCCCAGAAGGGCAAACTTAAGCTAGGAACTGGCAGAAGAGTCCAGATTACACCTTGCAGCAAGACAAGTCAAGGTCTTAGAAGAATCAAAGAGGTTAATTTATTATGCTTAGAAGGGAGACAGGGCAGCACTTCAGAAATTTTCCAAGAGGAATCTGAAGGGGGCTGGAATGATAATTCCCAGACAAAAAAAAAAAAATTTTTTTTCATCTATGATTTATTTCAGTCAAAAAAGTCAGAAAGCCTGGAAATCCCAGGTTAAGGTTCAACTTCATAATAAAAGTTAATTCCATGTACTGCAAAGTCTGCAAAAGCAGTTATGACCAAAACCACTTAACTCTGCTCCCATTTTTGGAGAAGACACTTGAGTAGTTGGAAGACAATGCTGAAAATGAGAACAGTGCTGTTTTCCTAGTGGGTCTCACAAAGGTACTCTGGTAATCAAATGTGGTATTTCATTGGTCTCACAGGCTTTCATCATGTCTACCTTACTGATGTGATGCATAACATACATGGACCCAACTGTTCCCATAGTGATGACAAACATATTTGGTGACACATGGACTCTTTGAACAGGAAGAAGCAGTTGGCATTTATTTGCTATGGATGCTGCTGTTAAAAACTGTTCCCCCATCACGACACAAGGCTGTTAAGAGAAGCTTGCATTGTTACACAATTAAAGATGATAAAAGATTTTGTGTTTGATAATGTGATAGAGAGATAGAAACTGCATCCAAGTTAGTGGACTTCTTCTGTTGCCCCCACCCCCTCTCTTTTTAAATGCGTGCCAGCTGAGGGGCAGAGTTAAGGTTTCTCTGAACTTAGCTTTTTATTTGCAGACTTGTTGATTAAAAAAAAAAAGACAAAATGGAACCTGCACTTGGAACTTCCAGGTCACATCAGAGAGAAAAAAACGCCACCCAGAAGAGGTCTGGCAAAGATGACTTCAACCTTCACAGCAGGTTGATTATGTTTTTGTCTGGGAATTTCCTCAAGTTTTACAAGTGTTTAAAAATGCCTCAGTGACAAGAGTCCCTGCAGGTGCTACAAGCCACAGAGTTGATCCTGCTCTTCCCCATGTTCATCTATTTGTTCTCCTCCTTCACTACATCTACTATTGTGACTATTCAGGCTGGAGTCAGAAGCCTTTATGAAATGTGCAGTCTGACCAGTGTATGTAATGTAGGCAGTATTGATCCAGCACCTACCTTAACTTCCATAGGCCCTTCCCAAGCCACAACTTGATTTCAAGCCATTTACTGGAAGTCATGCCTCCCTAGTGAGCACACTACTGCACACCTGCCATAACATTTTTTCCTCTCCATCACTGTTTCTTTACATTCACTATCATCTCTTAATGGTTGTTTCCACATTTCCTACCTTCATCTTTCTCTTATTCCACTTTAATTGCAAGCCCTAATACAATGCACATATTAAAATGCATTTATATATTACACACATTGGCTATTTCAAGAACATATCCTTACATATCCTCTTTCACATAAACACAAACCAATCCTTCCTGGAATCAAACAGAAATAATTTGGCCTGTTTATCCCTAGGTCTGTTAAAGATATGAGGAGTTAAAATGAGCATCAGAGTCTTCCTTAAAAAAAAAAAAAAAAAAAAAAAAAAAAAAAGAGTAGCTTTTGGTTTATAAATGACAGCATCTCCAAACATTTGTCCAGTTTGTGCCAAACTTTCTGAAACTTCTGAAGCTAGACTTGACAGCATATGCACATTGGAGTTACCAAGTTATGCTTACAGGATGAGGATTGTATCCTTGAAAGCAGTGAAGCTAGAAAGAACTTCCAGTTGAACACTAAATTGAAAAGTACCTCTGAGTTACCAAGTCCAGTTCCCCACTATTACAAGCAATTATGTCATAATCCCATGCACGAATTTATCAAGTTTTATCTCAGAGGATATTTATTTCCAGTACTCTCAATTGAAGTCTGATTCAGAATCTCACTTCCCTGATGAGAAACTGTTCAATTGAAAATAAGCTCCCAGTGCGATGTTGTGCTAATATGGCTAACAGAAACATAAAGGAAAAGAGCAGGTATCACCTTTATAAACAGGAATGGTAAGACTGTTTTTGCAACAGCATGTCTAATTCTGAGGTCTATGTGGTCAACAATTACTGAAAAACTCAGACTAGATCAGACAACTTAAAGAATGATGTCATGCATGGAAAATGTGCCTCATAGCAGAGAATCACTGAGCCCAGTCTACATAGGTTTGGAGGAAAGATTTAAAGATATCTTGGTCAATATCCATAAAAATCTATGTAGGGAGAAAAATATCAGTTGTTAGGGGAATGTTTTATGCAGCAAAGAAAGCCCAAATGATACAATGGCTAGCAGTAGAAGTTAGAAAAACCCAAGAGGAAATAACATCTTTCAAAGATGCCTTGTTCTCATGGTTTGGAACAAAACTCTGAGGCCAGGGTAAAGTCTTAATCATTTGGAACCAACAGCTACCTTTCTCAGAGTAATACCTTTCTAAAAGTTTTGCTCTAGTTCAAATGCAATGCTGGGCAATAATCTCTTCTGTGCGGTACATACAACCATATATTTTAAAGTCGATACTATTTTGAAAAATTCATGAACCTTACTATGTCATCCAGTCTAAGTAGTCCCACCCATTAACTCTATAATGCCATAAAGCCATCTACTCTATTGTCCACTACTTCTATGCACCTTTCCCTCTACTTACAGTTTTGTTAGGTGTCTACCTTCAGGTCAGAAATTCTCTAGAATAAATGTTAATTTAAAAAAAAAAAAAACCACTACATGTGCTTTCAGAATTTCCAGATAAACTTATAAAGAAGGTATTTCATAACCTCTCTGGCACCTGCTTTAGAACGGAAGATAACCTGACTGTTAGAGAGGGAAAAAAAACAATTGTCTGAATTTAGCAGCGGTAAACATTGTATTGTATTGTTTTTCAAACACAACATTAAAAAAAAGTTTTGCAACAACTCATCTTCCAATAATCTAATTACCAGCAGCCCTGAAAGGGCAAGAATATTATGCAGCTTGATGAAATTTATGAGCTTTATGAGTTAAAAAAAGTCCTGGAATACAGCAGAAAGCTGTACTTTAGAAAGTTTCATATTATGTGGTACCAGGTGTTTTCAAAGGAACAAATGATCCTTTAAACTAAGCACTTTACGTTTTGCCTCAGACGGTATAAAATATTAAAGGAGAAAATGCAATTAGCCCTCTAGTGGGCAAATATGGATTCAAAATAATGTTAGGTCCACATGGATAGTGAGATTACCCATATCTGACATGTCAGTGCTGTTTTTCAGTATTTGATTTCAGCGAAATTCTCCTTTCTGGGGTAAGGAAAAGCCACAAGTGCTGCTTCCTAAGCAAGAACATAATGATATATGAAATAATTAGTCTTTTTTTTTTAATTCTCCTTTATGATCATTTTTAATCTTTTCTCCTCAAGTTCAAAGCATTTCAAATTGTGCCTTTAAACTGACATTACTTCCACTGTATTCTTTCTGACAGCAAGGAACAGATATGACTGCACCGTTCCCATCACTGAGTGACATTAACTTCCTTATGACTGCTTTGCCGTACCATCCTGTACACATTCAGTGGTCTCGTTATGGTACTGGAAACTTAAGACAGCCTAGGAGAACATATTCTTAATAATGTAAAGGTATATTTCTCCATATAAATATTTAATTTAGTACCCAGCAATATGCTAAAGATCAAAAGTAATGCCTTTCAACATTTATCATTCTTTCTTTTTATAATCTACAGAGGTTAGACATTGAGATAATGTTCGGGTTGCACAGAAACACCCTCAAAATCATGAAGTGCCAGTAAAAGCTGGATGTACAATTCCAATTCTGCTTCCATATGAAAGTCATCATGATGAATCATAAGTGAAATTATGCTTATAGCAAGCAGACTACAATTCTGTGGCATGTAGTACCGGATTTGTTCCACTGTTCATGGAATGTTCTGCCTCATTCATTGGATGCTGTTATGAGCTAAAATACCTGCTGAAAGAGCTTCCAGTAGTAAAATTTGCCTAACTGATGAACAGCATTTTTCAATCCAGTGCTCAATTAATTGGTATGACAGTTGTGAAGACTCTGTAAGCTTTCACATTGCTTTGAGAATTCAAATTCCTAGCATCTGTTGAGTTTGGTCTTAGAAGTTAAGCTCCTTCTGTTGGACTACAAACACATGTTAAACCAAAGCTTAAAAAAAAAAATACAAAACAAAAAAACCCCACTACACACAGATCAGGAAGATCTGAAGTCAAACTAGGGAATAAGAGTAAGTTTAGGCTGTGAAAGTCAACAGTTCAATTAGCAAGGAAAATTTACTCCTTTTTTAATGCACAATTAATGAAGTAACTAATGCAAACATGGTACAGTGCATGACGAATGCTAATTTAACGTCTCCCCAATCTTTTAAAGCTGAAGTGAAATATTTCCTTGGTACTATTTGTTAAGAGGTAGAAGAAAGGAGATAGTGTTACCATTTAATATACAGAACTAAAAAACTCAAATAAGACCTCAATAAAGCCAGAGAATATAAAATTGCCAAACGAAGGCATTCGATCACTGTACCTCTGGCTTCCCCACTTCCACACCCAGCATCATCAACGCATATTCAAAGTTAACATTATGCTTGCATTTACCAGTTCATACTATTGACATGCCTACTCTCAAAATTTTATCAGCTACACTCAGAGACCTTTGTTGACTTATTCCAGTCCTTCAGTCACTTGGTAGCTTCATAAGGCCACCGACAATAACATGCACCGCTTTCCTGGCAAGGCAGAGAGTTTTTTAAATGCTCTCACCATATATCACTTATCTAGTCCTTAGATTTCTCAGGACATTCCAGATTTTACCAAACCATCTTTCTAAAATATCAAGCCCAGAACTTTATGTGGTATTTCAGCATGCTTCACCAGTTGCACCTCTTTTAATCACTCCAACATTTATGTACCCACCAATTGCATTTACCTCCTTCTGCCACAACCTCGCACTGGGAGGTTACATGGTGTCATTTAATTTCTGAAAATTTTTTCATAGTCATTGCTTTCCAGGATACTGCTTCCCCACTTATATTCCTTATTTTTAGTTGAAAGATGTTCAGTGGTAGCCAATAGGGCACTTCCATCCAGGCCAGAACAGTTTTGTTTGTTTTAAAATATGTTCAAGCATCTAAGCCTCAAACACTGACTCTGCTGGATAAGTCAGAGAGTATTATCCAGGACACTAAGCCTTCCATTTGGCTATATTAAAACATATCGTGCTTGAATAGTCCCAGTTTTAACAACCACATACAACTTCCCTATCATTTTTAGCTATCCATCAGTATTGGTTCCATCTGTAAATTGTCAGCCAGGATTTTATGTTGACCTCCAGATCATTGAATACTATCAGACCTAGGACCTTGTCTACTAATTTCTGAAACTGGTCACCATTAAGATCAGCAAAACAATGAAATACAGTAAGGCGATTCCCAGTACAGTGATAACATGCAAAAGCTAAGATTAAAAGGATACAAAAACCCCATGAGGAACCACTAACAAATTTGGAAATGCCAGAATTAAGGTCATCTACGTCATCATAATTTGGCTCCACAATGCAGGCACATTCTGATACACCCTCATTAACCGTTTCAACAGGGCTGCATCCTTATTTTGTTGCATAGATAGAGGCTTAACAAAGAAGCGTTCAGTTCTTTCAACATCATTCTGTGTACAGCCTTGAGCCTTGTTGACCACATGCGATTCTGACCTCATAAAGTAGAATCACTCATCTGTGGTACCCATCACTGAAGTATCAGTGCTCCATAAGCACTCATTTATCCCCACGATATCCCTGTTTCATCACTGCCCCCCCTCCCCTTAGCAAAAATAAAAATCAGACAGAGGAGTGAAACAGTAATTAAGACATACCCACTAATTCTGATTGGCCAACCTCATGACCGCTTCCCCTCCCCTCCCCCAAAGGGAAATTTATACTATATACATTCGAAACACAGCTCCTATAGATTTCTGTTCTGCAGCTGTGAGAGTCAATGATTCTGCAAAGCAAAAGTGGTCTGACATGTAAGTCAGAGAGGAATATTCAGCAATACTTGAGAAGAGATTAAGGTTTTGGGAACACCGGAGCGACCAAACATTAATTCTTTCACAATAATTATCTGTGGCCACTTTAGCCTACAACAAACGCAAATCCATTGAAGGCTAGAGCTAACTCATATTTGCACGTGCTCCGTGGTAAGCTTACCTGCAGGTCTGAACCACATGTGGCTGTAGGATACCATAGCAAATCTACGGCAGAAGCAAAGGTAGCCTCCAATTCTTCAGGCTAGCAGTAAATTGCCTTTGCCAAATTATCCTTCTAGTTTATGCAACCCTCATGCATAATTTGTATCTTTTGGTGTTTTTTTTTTTTTTTTTGTTAAAAGAAAACACTCCTTGCAGATTCTTCAAGTAAACCTGTGGGAGTCTGACAGGCAAGAGTGTCTGGTCATCATGTACACAATAACTGTAATCACATAATAAAGGATGGTATCAAAATGCATTGACTCAATAGGGCCCAATTAAAGGTGTGGTCAGGTAAGTAGTTCTGTGACAGAACAGTTTCAAAGTTCTCTCTCTTCAGTTGAAACGCAGTAATAGCCCCCTGCACACACTCATTCCATTGACATGCAAAGTAAAATGTGCTAAAATTAAAGCTCATGACCATAGAGCTTACTGTTAAATCCTTTTGCTTTGCTCTATGAACTAAGAGCGTGCATGCGCACACATACGTGCACACACACACACACACACACACACAGAGTTACCATATCTCAGCAGAAGAGAGAGAACTTGCCAAAACACAAGTTTTCACCTTACTACGTCCTGAAGTATACGGTCAGTCTTAATTCTGACATTTTTCTAACTTCCAAGCACAGCATTTATATACAAAGCAAAGCTTGCGTGTACAAACTCTATGTGTACACATGTATGTACATGTGCATCTGTCCTCCTTAAAGTTTTGAAATAACCAGCCAATTTCAAACGAATCCAATTAAAGGGTAAAGATCTTGAAGATAAAGTCTCATAAAATATGCAGCTGGGGAAAGAAGAGAGACCCTATTAGAGCCCCCTGCTGAGGGAAAGGCTAATAAGCTCACCCTTGATTAGACATCAGAGAATCCACACAGGAGAGAGCCGCTGGAAACCAGGCTTCATTAGTTCCGCTGCTCACGGAACTACTTGTTAAAAAAAGCAAACAGAAATTCCAACATGTGGCATCATACTGACACCCATATTGGTCATCAGCAATCACTGCACAAACCTCTGTCACTGCAGCTAAGAGGATAAGTGACGGCAATGGTAATTTGTCATCTTTTTTAGCACAGCATCAGAGGGGGATGAGACTCTTTGCCAGAGGATGTCACATACTTGTGCTGATTGCAAACATCACACAACTTAAGAATAAAGGATTTAATTCTTCTAGGCTTTGGAGGGAATGTGGTCAAACTTTCTGCCTGATACTTCCAAAACTTAATCCTCTCTTTGCTTCTACCCAATGTGCTGCAATCCCTTGCCTCGAGCACCAGCTTCCTGGCCCAGTCCCAACCTCTTTACCCACATGGCCTATCCTCTACTTCAGTGGCTTTTCCCCATTTCCTTCTCCCAATTCCTCAACATTTCCTTCCTCTATCCCCACTTTTATCTGTCCACGTCCCATGATCTTGTCCGCATCTGTTAGCTAATTGTACGCATCTCCTCACTTTCCAGGCCCTTAGCAGATCTGTCTCACTCTTCTTCCTCTCAGCCTTGGCCCTTCATAGCTTACTTCTGTGCCATCTTTCCCCTTACAAATGGGCTCCCCATTGCATCCTCTGCTGCATTTCCTAGTTCCTAGGCTTCTTGCACAAACATCCCTAGTCCTTTCCCACTCCCATCTCCTCTCTACTCAAATTTCCAGACTTCCTAGACATCATCAGCTCCAGTTCCTACCCGTATCTCATGCTTGTCCCCACTGAACCAAGCAGTGTCTTCATTACCCTGCCTCTGTAGCCACTAGAAGGAGATAATGGTCAACAGTGGGCACAGAGAATTCCTTCTGAAGCAGAAGGTCTTCACAGTAGCTGTGACTGAAGGAAAAGCATGCTTGGCCCTTCAGCTCTAATCTGGAAGACACTCACCACTGCAAAGAGAGTACATGCAGTCCAGTCTTGTATAGACACTAAGAGAGGGCATAGTGTATTCAGTTGGTTCTGGGGAGAAGGACAGTCTGATCAGTGCCTGGAGTGATGCAAGCCTCAAGTAACATCAAATAGGATACAATCTTCACATATTTCAACTACTGAACTATAAAGCATCTCTGAGCATGCTTAACATCTTTGAAAAGCCAGACTCACCAGATTTCAGATCTATTCTAAACCACGGGAAGTTCAACAAACAGCAATGCTAAATCCCACACAAGGCAGAAAAAAAGGCTCAGAATGAGACATGTCTGAGAACATGCCCACCTGTTCTACCACTGGCTCCTCTTGCCTCCCTGATTTCCTGATTAAAGGGGGCCTCCACCCAGCTTCTTCCCTATCTAAAGTTCAACTCTGCTTATTGCCAAGCCAACTGGCTTCTGTGCCTTTTTTCTCTCTAGATTCACCTCAGAAGCTTCCTACGTCCCTTAGCTGTTCACGTCTCCCAAACCAGAATCCCCTTTTATTTCCATAACCTACTGGAAAATAAGGAAACCCAGAACTGGGCATGGAAAACAGAGCACTCATTGGTTACAGTACATTTTTCTGTTTGTTCAAAAGCACAACTTGCAAAACCATTCTAGACAATGACCTGGTATTCGTCACAGCCTTTGCAAGCTTAATCCTGGAACCAAGCGATACTTGTAAAGAGCTCTCAACTTCTTGTAAAAGATCAAACTATTTGGAGAACTGTTTGTCAGAGAACTGGTCTCGCCTCGTTCTGAACCTGAAGCACCTCATCAGCCCTGTCAGCTGATCATATCACATCACAAACTTCAAAAAGTGCACAGATACAGGCACCAAGCCATAGTATGCAACAATACTACTGCATCAAGGACCTAAGCTATTTCTCTCCTCCCAGCACTGTTTAAAGCTCTGATGAGAAGCCATGTACTTCACACTGCCAGCATCTTACTAGAAAGATCTCTGATACTTATCCCATTTTTCACAGAAAAAGTGAATTCTACAGAGATGTCGGGGAGATTAATAAACACCTGACACTAAGTCCAGACAAGGCTAAAATGACACTACTTTTGAGAAAAACGCTTCACAGAACTGGTCTAGATGCTGTCCCCTGCAGGTGTAAGTGTTCCTCTAATAGCACAAAGTATAAGGACTCTGCCAGATTAACCCTAAAGCCAGGTGGCCAAGACCTGCAAGCTACACCATCACTAGCAAAAGCTTCACACCTTTTCTTACAAAGAAAAATCTAGTCACAAAGATTCTTATATTACTTACAGAGGAGGCGACAAGTTCACTTCTAGAGCTGATATGAGAGCAAGAGAGCTACAATTTTCTGGAGCTGAAATCTCTACACCCAGTGGGCTCATCTGCAATATGCCCATCACCTTGGCGCTCCAGTTCCTCCCGACCTCTCTGCCTGCGGTGCTGCCCATTCAAGGCCTTGCTCTATTTACACCAGTACACCAGGAGTCAGGTATTAGGGAAATACTTGCTCAGGTACTTGGGACAAAGCTCACAGAACAAAAAGAGAAACATAAAACCAAACAATAAATCAATTTGACAAAAGACATTAGAAATTATTAAAAAAAGAAAACAAACAAACCCACAATCAGGATGATCAACACAGTCCATCTCTTTCCAGGCATCTGACTAGATTGTCCTCAGTGTATCATCACCAGAATCAGTGAAACTATACAAACACATACACACGTATACCACAAGCATCTCCTTTCCCAGACTGAGAAGGGAACAAAAGCAGAAGAATCTCATTCCACAGTCCTAATTTAGCCAAGATATGCTTGCCTATTGTAGTGACTGGAACTACCCAAACCATCATTTCCTTTTAGAAAACAGAAAGAGGCCTAGGAGTCCTAAAAGTTTTAACTTGTGAGTCTATTCATACACATATTATGGGGGAAAAAAAAAATTTACTGTATTTTACAAAGGCCTTGTCTCCCACAGCTCCAAGAGGAGACAGCATTTTCTGTTCATTTTCAACAATTATTTTTAGTTCTGAACTTGCACATGGAAAGCATCAGCCAAAAAGGAAGGCATCTGCCAAAGGAGGCAGAAATATTACTTTGTGATCTTCAATAAATCTCAGTTTAGTTATCTTCCACCATAACATTGCTCAGAGGAAAGTATGCTTGGGACAGGGGCTGGAAGAAGAGGCAGAGGTACCACACTCAGACTAAACATGAAGACAGGAAGTCTTCCTGATTACATGTTCCTACATATAAAGTCATTTTGTCTTTTTTTGCAAAGTCTTTTTCATGAGCTGTTACATAGACTATTGGTGTTCATGAAGCTTCTGCTGAGTCACTCCACCTGGTCATGGGTATTTTTTTCCAAATTTGCAAGTAAACAAGGAGCTATAATTAAAGCCTTGGTTCAGCTTTAATTCTAGTGTTCACTGCCAATTGTGTCCCCTGTAAATACATATTTAACAACCTAATTAGCAACCCAGACTGTAAGCAGCTTGAGTAGTGTGGAATTGTGGCTAGGGCCCAAAATAAACGGCGGGATTACACATAGCAAGCTACCTAACACTCCCGCCCCTCTTCAGCATACGCTGATTATATTTTCAAAGTGGAAAACTGGGACACTGGTAAAGGAATAAAAAGGCTGATCCAAGGTCTGGTTTTGTACCCATTTAAATGTACTGATTTAAAAATGTAAACTTTTTTGAAATCTATAGTTAATAATAACACAGCCCCTGCAATGGATGCACTGATTCTGTGCAAGTACCTCCACGCTGTTAGAGCTTAATCCCAGAAACATAATTAAATCTGGTATGTGTAGGGGGCGGGGGGGGGGAGGCTAGGATGGCAAAAGGGAAACTTTGAGAAGAGATAATGGGCACACAGTAGAGAAGTGAGAAGAACTGGGGACGATCTCCTATTTCTGTTTCAATCTGCCTATGTGCAAAGGGCAGAACAGAAAAAACTGTTTACTGCTGTGTCACTCCTTTGTCTCTTCTTCCTCTTAAATATTCCTCAGAAACACCCATCACTAAATCACCCATACACGCTCCCACTTCCCAATCAACACAGTCCATCACATTTCCTTCCTAGCACTCCTCTGCTCTGCCCAGTTCCTACCCTCTCAAAAACACCCATGCTCATCATCTCTAGTTTAAATACTTCTCATTAATTAACCTTACCCTTTGCTACCACTCACTTATGAACTCAGGCCACATCCCTCCAAGGTCAGAAAGCCAGCCTCAGGGCTCAGAACTCTTCCCCCTCTTATCTGATTCCCTGAAGGCTCAGAAACACCCTTATACCTAATTCAGAAATGCATTTCTTTTCCCTATTTTGTTGGGAATGCTGAAATAGGAGGAGAGCACAGGGGGCAATGCATATGGGAGCAGACAGTATCACCACAGTTCACTCCCTGCTCTGTGCCTCCGGTTTGTAGTCTTTGTATTGCATAGTCTGGAGCCCCAACTCGGGGCAGCCAAGCACACTAGGGCTCCCAACTACACGGGAAGTGCTCCAGTTACACCAGACTACTGCATTCTGCAGTACACCAGCCACAGTACCTGGCTGTGACATCAAGGATATGGCTCAGCCCCATAAGATCCTGGTCATTAACTGACCTAGTAACATTAATATCTATACTATTTAGGAAATTGAGGTTTTCCACTAAAAAGGAGATCCCTAGTCTTGGGACAACCCTCAGGCTTACAAACATTCTCAATTAGAGAGAAAACTAAACTTTTTGTACAGCTGAAAGTTTCTATACTCAGGGACTCTACAGGGATGAGGCACAGATCTCTTCTTCCCCATGTAACCCTCTGAAGGGTGGAATATACCCCCATCCCCATGCAATGTTATAGCCATGGTTGAACCCTGCTCCCCACCTGTATGTCTTGCCATCCTTGTGCTGGTCCTCATCATCCTCGTTTGACAGCACAAAGGGGTCACTCATCTCTGGCAGCCCCGACTCCTGCAATCGTTTCTTCTTCCGGCCCCGGGGTGGTTTGGGGGCAACTCCCCCACCCCCACCACCCCCACCACCTTCGGAGAGGGTGGTTGTCCCTTTCTTGGACAGATCAGGCACCACCTGGAGGGCTGCCTGGGACCCAGGGGGCAGTGCAGAGACAATCATGGGGGCTGAGATGGGAAAGGTTTGGGCAGAGGAGGCTGTGGTCACCAAGGAACCTGACGGGGAAGTTATCACCAGACCAGGACCTGCAAACAGAGAAAGATGGAAGAAGTCAGGTATTACATATCTCTAATTATTTTCAACCTCCTCAACCCAAAGAAGTAAGCTTTATATGTCTTTGACCACAACCCAAATGAACAGAGTAGCTTGCCCTCCACCAAAACATCCCCAGGCTCCACTGCTGGAAGTCAAACACCCACATGTCAAGAATGTCTAAAGATTCATAGTGAATGCATGCCTAGGGCCAAGGCAGTCAACACCATTAATATGCCTAGGATTAATCTAATGCCCCCAAAGGATTATCCAGGACTCCCCGTCCCCTCATCCTCTTCCCATCCTCGAGTCTCCTTCATGTTGTTCCAGAAGTCTCTGGAGCCCCCTACCTGCTGTCATGAGCCCAGCAGATTGCACTGGTACCACAGTGATGTTCTGAGTCACAGGAGCTTGGCTGTGCGGTGTCAGCTGCTCTGGCTTGGTGTCCGAGTCCATGGAGATACCAGTGGGTAGGGCCACAGAGGTGGGTACTGTCAGCAAGGCAGGGTAGTGGGGGGGAGCCAGGCTGCAGCCCTTCTCTGTGGGCAATAGCTGCTCCTTCATCTTGTTAATAAACATGGTGTTTTCAATCTAAATGGGTGGGAAGAATGGCTTTTAGAATATTGCAGCGCAGCTTCTTCCCAGCAGTTGGCTGAGCAAGAAATGCAACAAAAACACTTATTACACATGAACTTCTAACAGGAAGCAAGACCAGCATAATAGGTTGGAAGACAAAGATCTTACCTGTCCCGAGACGGTGGGCACCGCTGGCCAGAAGTACGGGGAGGAGTTGAAATGAGATTCTTCCATCCTAGCTGGGCGCAGGGGGGAAGAGGAAGGGGGAAGGGAAGAGGAATGGAGGAGAACGAAGACAGACAGACAGACACACACACACACACGATAGGAACATTAAACCCAAAGAGACTCCAATAGGGAACTGGCTCAGTCTAATGCTGGGACAGTTCCTTAATCTCCCCTTTCTTATTTGAGCAACTTCTCCCCACTTTCGAGCTATCTGCCCAAATCCTGTTATTTTCAAGGGGAAAAGGTAATGTCTACCATCCCCACAGGCACAGGTCCCTCTCAAATGCCTCTTGCCCATAGCCCTCCATGCAAAAAAAATGATTGATTACATCTGCCCCAACTCTGATTACACCTCCGAAATTTCGATTATCAGCAGCCTAAGTGTGAATACAGTAATGATGAAGTCTGTGCATCTGCAGCCAGGCAAATAAGAGCTGAAAATCATTTTTCACTGTCATAGACAGTCTGATCCCACAGGAGGTGAGAATTCCGGACCTTGCCTGTCCCGTCACCCCAGCTCAACGCTAAGGACCCAGACACAGCAAGAGAACATTAGCGTTATGTTACACAGGAAGAAAGACAGGCAGAAACAGGGAAACAGACTTGCCCAAGATAACAGACAGCCATAGGAGATCAAGAAGTCAAACATAAGGCTCCTAACTTCCTGTTGCCCACTGCTCTAACAACTTCAGCCCCCATCTCAGGGCCGGCCGGGTGGGGGGGAAAAAAAAGGGAGGGAGAGGAAATGCCACTCAAGATTCCCAACAGACAAGACGCTCTCTACTCTCATCCAACAAAACTATGTTGTGGGAAAGCAACCTGACTACCCTGTGCCCAAGATACCCCTTTTCCAAGTGAGATCAAATCATGGCTTTGTACTGCCCATTTCATCCATGCCTTTGGCACGAGATTCTGTCCCCAGTCAGGTGCCACTGCTCCATCTCAATTCTCCGTGCAGTCAGAGCACTGGTTAGACACCAAAAGATAGCCCTCTGAAGACAGAAGCTTAATCTCTTCAAGAACATCCAACTGAAGGAGAAACTAATTTTCCATTCCAATCCTTCCATTCCTTTGCATAGTATCATCACCTAGAAAAGTCTGCAACACTTCTGCAAATGCCAGTCATAAACTAAAGAAATTCACAAAAGAATATTTTCTAGAGCAGATGAGCCTATCCCTGAACAAATATGCCAAAACTGGCAGATAAAATAGGCAGAGAACATTATGCCTGGCAGAATAAGCTACGTAAAGAAATCAGGCACTGTAGGTTTCTCATGCAGCTATCTGTAAATTAGACTACCATATGATAACAGAAGTGGTACAATTAATGAACAAATATTGTTTCTGAAGGACCTCAGTCATCAGATAAGCTGTGGAGCATGCCCTGAGTAGCATGAAATACTTACTTTCCAGAAGTATATTAGACCAGAATAAATGCACACGGAACTATTGCATGCATGCCAAAACAGAAAGATAATTTTCCTCTAGGCAGAGGAGCAGTATTTAAATGCACCAAATTACCTGTTAATTTTATTTTTATGAATTGCTCACAGAACAGCAAAGCTAAGTATTCCTGCTTCACTTAAACCAAGCAATAAACACGCTTAAGAATGAATTACTCTCCTTACAGCGCTGGCATATAGTCAGACTGCCAGCTGACTGACTGAATTACTCTGGATTTACACTTCTGTGATTCAATCAGAATCAGATGGGGCAAGAATCTTACCTTCCTCCTTTGCTTTCTTCACTGAGCCAAATTAATTCTATACATTGCCTACAGCAAGCTCCTGTATATGTAACATTTAATTGCAGGGCTTGTTCTTCCACAGGACGGACATAAATGAAGAGATAAGACATTCCTTGACAGCTGAGCTCCTCCTAAACCAAGAGCTTCCCGTTTGGAACGTCAATGTATTTGTTTTTGTTGTTTTTATTGTCATTTGTTTGTTTGTTTTTTTAATATGTAGTGCCCTATCTGCTCAGCTTCCACATTAAAAAAAAAAAGTGAAACTGATTCTGTAAAACCATGTCTCATAATAATCATATGCACATTCCAAACAAACTGTAATTGTCCCAGACTCCCTTGGATTGAACAGCAAATTTTAGGAATTAAATAGAAAGATGCCAAATTTAAATAAAAATTTGGCAACAACTCTCTCATTTAAAGAGTACAAGATATGAAAGGCAAATCCATTTTCAGATTCTAAAATCCAAACCAACAAAGACTAGGACACCATTTGCTTCCTGTCTCCATCTAGTTCCCTACCAGAACTTCACCAAGCACCTAACTTTTATCTACTTAGTTTACAAAACAGGTACGTTAAGAAAGCCTCGTACTGATTCTTGGAAAATGACCGCACCATTCTCATTAAACTCTCCTAGAATCCATTTCCGCATCCAAAGATCTTCAATACTGAGCAGATATCAGGCCTCAAAAATCAGTTTGAAAGACTGAAGTGTAATGAAGTTAAAAGAATGGGGAGGGAAAGGAGAAATGGTGTAAGAATTGAAGCTTTCATGCAATCTCACTATTATGTCAATCTTCCAAAGGGAGAAAACAAGGGTAAGATTCCTCCACCAAGCTACTACCTTAACACCCACAGCCCCCACCCGCCCCACCTCCCCCTTCCAAGTTTTAGTCTAAAGGATATTTTATAAACATGCACCCCTATTCACAGCCCCGACTTTAACACAACTCACACTTACTTCACCAGAACTCTGCACGTAACCCTTCCAATTGCTCTATAACTATCACATATGGGCTGGAGCTTCAACCCTGTACCACAGCATGCTCCCACTGCAGTGCCTTCCTCATCCCAGCTTCCATAAACAGGCCAGAGATGGGACCTTCTTCCCATTCACCAGTCTAGTATCAGATAGATGTCAACGTACCCTCCTGATATAAACCAGAAACACCTTCTATGTACACACCACAAATTTACATACACCAAATAAGCAACCAAGCGAACCAGAGAACTCACAAGGGACAAGGAATCTGAAGTTTAGCTCTCAGAGTACTTCACAGAATCACATACTTAACGTGCTGGACTTATACTTCGTTGCAGGTCATCACTTTTACCATAAGCACACAGATAAAAGCGTATGCAAGTATACGGTGAGGTAGAGGCTGTGTTTCTGGAAGGCATAATTAAGGTTGGATATGTAGGTATTTAAAGGTTGACTTTTAACATGCTTTTCCTTATTCTCCACATACCCTATTTTCCATTCAGTACAGGTTTTAGTTAACAAAAAGCCCTGAATACGACACTCAGGAATGATTTACAACGTTGTTTTATTATCTGCCTAGATCTTTGTTCAGTAACAAGGAGCTTTTAGGTTAAATTGCTGCTAAACATGGTTGATGCTGAAGGCCGCACAGGATATTAGGTCAAATGCAAAAGTGCCTCCACTAAGCTCATAAGCACAAAAAGTTTAAGGACTGCTACACCTTTAGGAAAAAAAAAAAAAAACCCAAACAATCATATGAGGCATACCTCAAAGGCAAAGTTCCATACCCCAAGCCCGCGCACCAGGGCTGGAACAACCTTGGTGCCTCCCTGACACATCCTTAGCTCCCCCCCCAGCCACTTGAGCCTCTGTGGAAACAGATGCCTGGCAGGGAAGTACTCCACACACCCTACGCCTGAATTCCTTCCAGGCAGTCAGTCCCTTCTCCCACGCCCAGGTGACTTCAAGTCCCAAACGCTGCGGACTGCGGCCCACTCCCCCCACCCAGCGCGGAGTGCTGGGGCGGCCTGAGCACCGGGGGCGAGGGCAGAGGGGCGGGGGTCACTCACACTGCTCCGGGAGCTCCTTCCCCCTCTCACTCTCCCTCCTCTTGCATTTCTCCTCCTTCCGGGGCTGTCTCTGCAAACAAACCGCCAGGGTTACGGGGGCACTCAGGGGCCTGCAGGACAGCGGCCGGCGCAGGGCAGGGACCCCGCACCCG